ACTAAATATAGATAATCTTAACTGCACAAATACGCTAAACGCAAATATTCAGAAAATCATCTCAATAAATAATCAACAGATTGCGCTTTTTAAATTTATTCAAGTCCCAAAACATCAGGATGCGAATTTGAGTCGTCCGGACTCAATTGATAAAACAGATAACATTTAATGGTGTCAAAACAAGTTTAACTATCATTCGATCAGATATAGTGTTTCTCTATATTTCATCGTACTCTTACACAATATATGAATCAGATGCTAAATAACAACCAAAAACGAGTATGAGTTTCTTTTTACACCCGAAAAAATATAACCATGCATGACTTATTCAATAAATACTAAAATGGTTATTTCGTCACTGCTATTGCGCAACTTCTCTTTTAAATGACTCATCAATCTCTATAAAAAAAGTGTGTTGACTTGTGTTTTTTCCTTCATCTTATACATTTCGTTCACAATATAAGGTTTTAAACCATCAAAATGGCATTCAGCCAACAACAGTATGCCGAGCAATTAGAATTACTCCAAGAACGTTATCCACAAGTATCAACACAAAACCTATTACATCTCTTACAACAACATAATGGTGATGTTGATAAGGTATGGTTTATTAAATTTTTATACGTATTCATAGCCCGCTAACACCTCCTATGCGGATGAATGGAGGTTGCCGATATATATATATATCTACTGACATGAAACAAAAACAATTTTTTTTGTATTTTGTAAATAAAATAAATTTTTAAAATTTCTCTACTTTAATTAGGTTTGTACATATCTTATTCAAGAAGAACATCGTGTGAAAAAACTCGACTCACTCGAAACTCGTTTTAGTACTGCATTAACAGCATTACAACAAGAATATCCAGCATCTAAATCAATAAAACGTACACGTTTACTTAGAATTATGGATCGGTTTGGTGGTGATGTTGAACATGTTCGAAAATTTTTACAAAAACATGAAGCAAAACACAATGAGAGTGGAATTGATTCGAGTGTAGTTCAACATCAACAACAAGAAGAAATCAAAACAAAATATTCTACTCAATTAGCAGAATTAAGAACAGCTGGTATCAATATTCATAGTCCATGCGTACTTCTACAACTCGAAAAATATCACGGTGATGTTAATAAAGTGAGTTTAAAGATACGAGTGAATTGTAATTTTTTGATACGATTAAGATTTTAGCTCTATTTGACTAATAACTTTTGTTCTCGTTAATCGATTTGAACAATTGTTTTTATATATTATTGGTTTCTGAACATCACATATCTGCAGTAAATTTCAGCTCTATAGTTCAAACCGTTGCTGATTTATAAGGCTCACACTATTAAAAAAAATCAGATTTTTATAGCAAGATACACTAGGACAAGGATATTTTCGGAGAATAGAAATAAGAAAGAACAAGATAACGAATAGTTCGTTTTTGTAGAGCTTGAAATGTTCTGTCGAATCATATAGCTTTCCAATTTCTCTCTTTTTGTTCCCATGTCTATTTGTCTAGAATACTGTATGACGGACACTTTTTCATTTTCGTAATAAACGATATTATTTTTTAAGTTTCTTCGTTTGTGAACAAGTCAAAGAATTCAGTAAAAAAAAAGCGATCTTTTTCTAATATTTCGACTTCTACTCACTTTGTTGAATGATATTTTGAATATGTTGTTGTGCATTCGAGCAGTTTATTCCTTTCTTATCAAGTTCTTTTATAATTTTTTCTAATAAATTAACATTTTTTCTCTTGAACACATCAATTGGTGGTACTCAAAATAAAGTTGATTTTATTATGCCACAGTATATTGTTGTGTCAGCAGATAGCGCGACATTTTTGCCTATTGGTTAAGTTTTCTAACCAATGGCTATTTTTGTGGCGCAATATTTAAGTTGGAAAAAACCGACATACACTTTGTACATTCACAATCATTATCAACAACTTGAATTACGGTAATCCTGCTGTCAGAGAATGTAGAATGTGTATAGAAGTGTTCCGAATGTGAGATGATCTTTCTCCTCCTTCCTATCTTGGTGACCTCGTGATATCTTCAAAAATGTTTGTAGCTTATCTCTACCTATCTTTAATAAATAATCAAACTCGAAAAATAAGCGAAAACAACTGGTTTGGTTGGCTCAGGTGATATGAGCGCGCTTACACTTTTCAGGAAGCATGATTTCAACTGAAATCTAACATTTTTCTACGAGTTTAAAAATATTCATGCAGTGAGATATAAAAAAATCAAGCAGAAGACTCGCTCTTTGCATGACACAGATGAATATAGATCTTAAGGTTATATTACCAGTTAAAAAATTAGTCATATATTGCTTATTGTTCTTGAGAAATTAGCATTATACGTAAAATATAGAACAAGATTTTTTATGTATTATTTCAGCTGAAAGTGAGCCAAAATGGATAATATTTTATACGATTGAATCTATTCCATTGTGAAAATTCGTCCCATTTTTATTCCGAATTAAAGTGGTTTCACCATATAAAGTTTAAGCAGCCTACTACAACCTGTAGAATGACAGGTTTTTTTTAAATGTGATATTTCCAGGAATAGTGAATCAAGATGGGCTATGTTTTATATCATTGAAGTCGTTCTATTTTGGAAAATGATTCTATTTTCATTGCAAACGTCAGCTCTGTATTAATAAGTAGTTTTATTACATAGAATTTCAGCAAGCTATAATCAGTTTTCCCAATTAAATAACGCTTCTTATGATATGCTTCCACTGTAAGCAAGTTGTATCTCGGCGAATATGTAAGGAAGTATTGAGAAGCTTTTCGCTGTGTAACATTGGCATAGAGCGAACTTTTTCAAACTAATCGATCGCTTTTTCACAGACAGCTGGTGAATCGATATGCTATATAACCTGAATAGGTCCAAAACGATTTTGACAAAATTTTTGTTAATCTGAAAAGCAGGTTTCCTAGAAAACCAGCAAGTAAAAACCTAAGAAAATTTCTCGTGGTCATATTCGATAGCCTACAATCCATTAGCTTTGCGTAAGAAAGCAATTGATCAGTTGAAAAAGTTCTCTCGTCCGAAATTGTTTTGATCTACTTTTAATTTTTCGTACCAAGAAATTGTAATTCACTCATAAATGGATGTAAATAAAATACACATACATATTTATAATAGATATTGGAAATGACAAAAAATCGTGAAGAAAAAAAACATCACATTGCTGAACTTGATACTAAATATTCAAGTCAAATTACGCAACTTGAAACTGATGGTATAAAAATAAAAAACAAGCGACTTTTATTAGAATTATTAGAAAAAGCTAATGGACAAATTGATATTGTTAAACAACTTTTTGCTGAAAGAAACGAACAAAAACATCAGATTAAATCATCAATTAATACAAGTGAAACAAATCATGAAAACCTATCATCGACAAAGAAACGACATGAAATAAATGCTGATGATATTGATAATCTCAGACAATTACGTTCAGCAGGTATATATGGTAATCCAGTGAAAATTTTAGCTTTATTTCATGAATGTAATCAATCTATTGAAATGACTAAAGCTCGTATTGAAAAAGATCGAGAACAACGTGAACAACAATATGAAAAACGAACACAGGTAGAAAAAGACATATGAAAACAAAAAAAAAATTCAATAATTATATCATTGTTTTAGCAACGTATTGTACTTGCCGAAATTCATGATGCTTATTTAACCATAAATAATCGAGATGATTGGCCAGATAACATTCAACAAGTTTATTTAGACGGAAATAATATGATGTTTGTTATTGATTGCATACGTCGACTTTGTTTAAATCGAGCAAGTAAAAAAGCTGAACGAGCTATTGCAGAATTAGCTGCTGCATGGAATGAACAAATGCATATACCAAATATTGAACTTATTTTTGATTTAACACATCAATTAGAACAAATTCAGAGTATTAAAGTAAGTAGTGCACATCCAATGTATAAAACAACTGATGATATGCTCATTGATATTGTTCGACGAAGTGAAAATCAACAAAAAAATAAACGTACAATTATTGTTACATCTGATCGAGGTTTAGCTATTCATGTAAACTTGTCTTTTTTTCTTTTTTATTCTCTTAATTAGAAATTTTTTTGATTTATTTAAAATTTAGTTAAAATATGAAGGATGTCAACTCGTAAAACCACATCAATGGTTTTCTCATTGTGCAATGGTATTAACACCAGATTTAATTAAACATGAAGAAACAACCGATATGACTGCAGCAACAACAACAACAACAACAACAACAAATAAAACTCGATATGATCTTAATGAACTTGTTCGTCGTATTGTTAAAATTGATTTATAGATTAGTTTTTTGTTAAATATTTTGTTATAATCAAGAAAAAAAATACGTTGTCTCTTTTTTTTTAACTAAAATTAAACAATCACTTTTATCTGATGACACATCGGACGTATCAAATGATAAGTATAAATATATACATATATATATATATATATTCATCTGTTTCGAAAAAACGATCTATCATATTTGTTTCATCAAAAGGATGAAAGAAAGACTTTTCTTTATACCTATTATCGAATGCATTCGAGTGTAACGCCTGACCGTCTAACGCCATGATGAAATACATATGTATAAAAAAAAAACCGATTGCGTTTTGTTGTTTGATTCAATCGGACAACTCACTTCTTTTTTTTTACCGTTCGATTATATGAACGTGTCACGTTTATATCTATACGTTCTTCTCATCATTATTGCGCTCTTTCGGTCTTTTTTTTTGTTCAGTTCAATCAATGCGTAACCAAAGCTTTAATCAGACGATGAAAGACAGTTCAAGTTGACTATAGCTGAACAATGCATGAGCAATTATTGAACTATCATATTGACTAAGAGAGTAAGTTATAATGAATGAAACAATATGAAATACAAATAATAACATTTATTCACAAGAAAATCGTTTTTTGAATGTTTTTTTTCTATTACACACTAGTATATTTATTTATTCAGATAAATCATTTGATTGAAGTAGAATATGCCTGCTGCAAATTTTACTAAATCTTCTACTCCTCTCAATGGAGTACCAGCAATGATTACACATAAGACTGCAACAGCTATACAAAGTGGTCCCTATACAAAAGCACAATGTAAAAGATTTCGTTTTTTTTTTTCATTTTTTGTTGTTGGTTTTTAGTTTTAGTTTATCATATTAAATCTATTTTTTTATTATTCTTAGTTCAAAGTACAATGGAAGGTTCTCGAACAATAAAAACTTCTAAAGAAGTTGAACACATTCTTCGTGATTATCCAGCTGCATTAGAACTTTATCGAACAGGAAAATATAAAGTTAAAGTTAAATGTGAAGCTAATGTTGAACGTGTTATTCTTGTTGAAAAAAAAGCAGTAAAAACTACAACAAATAAAAATCAAGATAATAATCAAATTGTTCCTGATGGTTCGAGTAATATGGAACAAAATAGAGAAATTGAAAATGAACAAAATTTACAACAATCACGTAGTCGTACACAATCACGAGAACGTATTGCACCAACAACATCAGTAACAAATGGTCATAATATTGTTCATGCAACAATATCATCAACTTTGATAACAAATGATAATCATCCTAAAGTTGATCATCATCGAACACCATCAAATGAACGTGAAATTTCTGTAGCATCACAAAAAAAACAACCTATAAATCAACATAATCATTCAAGTGATAGTCAACATAAGGCATTAAATAATAACCAACAAGGAGATAAAGTCAATCGTGATTGTCTAAAAATGATAATGCCCTATGTTCCGCAAGCTAATAGATCCGGAAATCAATGGCAACAACCACGGTTTCAAACACCATATTATAGCAATCCTCTATTACAACAACAGCAACGATCAAATTCACATATGCCAGTACCATATGTACCACAACAAAATCCACGATATCAACAACCGTATTATTATCGTCAACGACCAACTACTCCAATTAACTTTCATCCACAGTAAGTTAATAATCAATAGAAAAAAAAAACAAACTCTATTCTTTTTCAATTGAATTATTTTAGACCATCTCTTTATCCATTATTACCATCAACACCAATAAATCGTAAACCAAATCTTCATTCAATGAATAACTATCCAACATCAACTCAATCCGTAACTAATATCATGGCACTTCCACCAACTATGCATACATTTCATACCAATCAACAACAACAAAAATTTTCATCTCTTCGTCCGATGTATCAATCACAAATACCATTTCCTATGAATCATCCATTGCCTAATATGGCAAATGAACCATTGCGTAATGTAAGAAGTAGTAGCAATACTTATATTGAACAACAAAGAGGTGTACAAAATCGAGCACCTAGTATTAATATGGGTCCACATAACAATCTACCAGTTCATTCATCTAATATTCCACAACAAACTGGTACAGCAGTTGTTGAACAGTATCGTCATCATCATCATCAGCATCAGCATCATCATCATCATCGGTTTCATCCAACAAATAATGTTGGAAATGGAAAAGAACAAAATGTTACATCTGTATGCAAAAATTAATTTAAAATAAAATTAAATCATTTTTTGTTTAATATTTTAGAAAGAACAAACACGTGTAGCTAATGTTGAAAAATTAACTGTTCGTCAACTTACTGGTTTGTGTCTTATTCATTATAAAGATTAATGAAAGTTTCTTCTTTTTTTTTTTTTGTCTTTTAACCTATAGAAACATTTAATCGAATAGATCCATCAGGTCGAGTACCATACACTACATTACCTGGAATTTTACAACGTTTTGGTATAATATTAACCGATAATGATATAAGTTCAGCTGCAAAAGATCTTGAATACAATCGTAAGATATTTTGTTTTTAGAATTATTATTCAATTCTCCTTTTTTTTTTTTTATTGTAGTTAATGAACCAGTATCTGCTCGACGTCTTATTCATATTCTTGTCAAATTAGGTAAAATAACAAAATCAAGCCAACAACAACAACAACAACAGCGTCAACCTGTTTCACCATCAATGTTACCTGAAGATCGTGAAGTTACGGATATAATGACACAACGTAATGTAAGTTCTTTTTTTTTGTTTATATGTTTATTAAATTGTTTGAATAATTACGAACTTTTTTTTTTCTTTAGACAACAAATACTTATATGCATTCATCAAATCAACCTAATCAACAATATTAATATTTTAGACATATGACAATAGATAAACAATATTCATCTTCTTTTTTCTTTTGTTCTTATGGTTGTGTGAATGTAATTTATTTGATAAACATTGCCTTAGATAAAACGATAAAATATAATGTTTAAATAGTTTTACATTTAGAAGTTAAGGCTTCAAAACAATTTAATTAAATATCTTCTACAAAATCTAGATATGATTTTTTGATAATCAGCAACAATAAAATGTGAACTGAAGACTAGCAGTTAACAATAGGGGATCAGTCGAACGAAATATTGTTTCTATTTATGAAGGAATGTTTCACCCAACATAAAGTCATGCAGATCAAAAAAAAAATGGAACAAAAGAATGCAGACATTTATTTATTTATTTATTTACTGTTCCTAACTCATACATTTCAATTTAAGCAGATGTTGTTTCTTTTTCTCTAAAAAGAAATGAATATAGTATTTCCATTTTGAATATTTAATATTTCTTCTATTACTCTTCTCCATAGGATTAAAATAATCACATGATAGTTATCTAGCTAAATCTTTTGAACTTCTACTGGTGAAAATAGCAATGATTGAAAGATTTCTTTTTTTGTAAATGGATTCAAGTAATGACTGCTCAAGTTTTTTGAGAAAATATTTCTTCTTAACTTCATGGGAGGTGAATTATTTCTGCTGCAAAATGAAGCGATTTACATGTTTCCCGTGGGATCAAAATCACGATTCGTTGGTCGTCGAAGGGTTTTTCATAGGAGTCTAGTATGATAGTTGCGGTCTTTTGTATACGACATTGTTCATTGCCTTATTCACATGAGCAGAGGGAGGAATTTTTCTTTCCCATCTTTTGTACATAGAAAAATATAATTTTCTCTTTAATTATACTTAATGATGAAATTGTAGTTCCTATTAATCTAAATAAAAGGAATATAATTAATTTTGTAAGCCAATACTTATCGTGTCATCACGATTAATTACCAAAAGCAACACGATTTTAATGACATGAATTGCATGATATTGCTCAGACCTTCTTATAGTGAAAAGGTATGAACTAAAATTGGTCAAAAGCTTCGGTAAATATTTTCTGAATCTTAATATCTTTCAAAAGAGAACTAGAGGGTGTGGGTATGTGCGTGTGGATGTGGGTATTGATGTTGAATGTAAGTTGTTTTCATTCACTCCCACCCACGCTCAAAAATGACTATAAATATGGCAAAAATAATCGTAAATACAGCAAAAATGACTGTATATATGGTGCAAGTGGTCATCAGGTTACTATGGTACAGATCATCATGACTATGGTATAAATAGTCATAGCTACTATCTGAAGCATGATTGATTGCGTAGGATGACAATATGTACTTAGGTATTAAGATTCATGATTAAGATTAAATAGTATTCAAAGGTTAGGTATACAGAATCGGTGTTTAGTGTGAAACGGTCATCTATGCTAAGTATTTCCCTATGTTCCATCGTATTTTGATGTACGACATAGATCAGAATTAAGAAAATATTCCTCTGTGTCCGAAAAAGAAAAATATGCCCGTTTTACGGAGAGTCCCGGCATTAAAGTACCATTGTACCCGTCGTCGAGTACGAAATTCCTAAAAAATAGTGTCTCTCCATATCGTAGATGAAGAAATGGAACTGTAATACTGAGTTATTTAATACGTCAATATGGGACAATTTATGGTCATTTTCGAGTGTATTTTATTCCACCTGAGATGTTTTCAGAAGTGACGATCATTGTAGTTAAACAATTGAATATTTCAACTCATTATTCAATAATATATGTATGAAGACATTTTTTAATAATTATTAAGAATTAGAGAATATGTCTGAACATAATATTAGTTTAAACTTAAGTTTCATTTTTAGAATAATGTGATAATAATATTTTTTTGGAATAGAAAAAGTGCTAACAAAAGTAATTATTAATAATTGTGTGGATTTCTATTTTATCTTTATTAATCAACATATATGTAACATAAGTTTCATTCCAAACATGAAGAAGACTCAAAATAACATGAATGATGAAACATAGGAACTTTAACATTGACTGCTTAAGTTGTATTTCATTATACAACAAATACATTATTAGTGATAGGATCAGTGACTATTAGCAACTTGCTAATAACAGTTGTTATCGACCAGTCGAAAAAAAAGACCTGTCTAAATGTGCCAGTTTTCCTTTAACAAAATACGTTGAGAGTCAGTTACAGTGCCTTTATCAAAATCATAAAGCAGTATGCATTCAGAACAAAATTTGTGTGCTTTTTGGATCAAATGAAACAATCTATGATTCACAAAGAAAAGATTAACAGAAAAAAAAATATTAAATTTTTCAATTAATAATGTTTAATATATCATTTAAATATGTAATCACATGAATGTTCACATATTCTTTACCTAAAAAAATACATATATTTAAAACTAAATAAATGATGAAGCTTACGTTCAATATTTAAGTGGACCTTCCGAATTCCAAACTCTAATTTAAAATTATGTAATTGTGTTTCCATTAATGTAAGACGTTCCTTGAGTTCATTTATAATTTTATCTTTGTTGTCCATAGTGGCGGAGTCAGGATTTTGAGCTGGGAGGGGCTGAGTCCACCCCTAGCTCCGTCACTAGTTGTCCAACTCTACTTTTAATTGTTCAATTTCATCTTTTGATGATTCAGCTTCATTAGTTTTTGTAATGAGACTTTGTTTCATGATTGTACGAGATGCAGGAGCAGATGGGATTCCATTGTTGATGTTCTAAATAAGAAAAGACAAATTCATAATATAGAATCTAAATTGGAAATCTTCACCTGAACATTGTCGACAGTAAATAAATCAATTTCTCAAACAACAAATATTGTCTAAAATAATAAAATAAAATAAATTATTGAAATCATACTTATTTTTTTATTATTTTCAACTAAGATTTTTTTCTGATTGCACAATCTTGTTCAATATAAAATGATCTAATGTGCATATGAATATGGACAATACACAATGCAATACATAATAAAAAATAGATGTCAGCTAACGACAGTTAACAAATGATTCATTATAGAATTATTCGTTAACTTACTTTTACCATTCCATGAGATAATTTCTCAATCAGCTGTATTTTTCGTATATTCATTTGCTGTTACTTTTCTCTCTTTTAGTTGATCGTCGTTTCAAATAGTTGATAATCATAAATAAGAATGATGCAAATTATTGTTGATCGAATTCGTGTTACATTACCATCTGTTAATGACGATATTCTTGGTTATATAACTGGTTTGTAAATTCTTTTTTTGCTTTTCTTTTTATTCTCAAAATATTTTATTTTTCTTTAGACATTTTAAAAACAAATAAAACTGATTATACTGATTATCAAGAAGTAGACGACGCTTTAAGACCTATATTTGAAGAAATTGCTCATGATGAAATAAAACCAGAAGCAATTACTGAACTTTGTCAATTTGTTAGTGATCAATTAAAATTGTAAGAAATAATTCAACGAATCTTAAATGAAAAAAAAACTTATTTGTTTTTTTTTTTCTAGAGAAACACTATCTGGTGATAATGGTTTAACTCATGAACCAAAAAAATTATCAACACCTATTTTAATTGGTCATTATTCAAGTCCAACATTTGATACAGTTTCATCGGCTTTATTTAATATTTCTGATCGAACATTTATTAAACCAACAAATGAAACAACAACTGTATCACAAAAAAAACTTGAAAAAGCTGAAGCTAAACTTCGTGAAAAACAAGAAAAACGTGCACGAGATGGAGTAATAAATGGTGAAAATAAGTATGTTAAAATTAATTTTGATTTGAATTTTTTTATTTATTTAAATTTCTAGAGAACAAGCACGACTTGAAGATGCTGTTGTTAGTCAAGCAACTAATAAACGATTACTTGCAGATAATGAAAATAGTGATTCAACAAATAAATCGTAAATTAATTAAGAATAAAGTGACATTTTTATTGATATTTATTTTGTTTTTAGATATGATATTCATATTGATAATTTCGATGTATCATATGGAAATAAGTAAGATAAATAGTTTTCTTTTCTTTTTGAATAATTGTTTTGTTTCTTATAGAATGTTAATTCTTGCTGGTACGCTTGATCTTATCTATGGTCGTCGTTATGGTTTTGTTGGTCGAAATGGATTAGGTAAATTAAGTTTTATTTAATGATATTGATTAGTTTTTTTTGTTTTGATTTTTATAGGTAAATCAACTCTACTTCGTGTAATAGCTAAGTAAGTTTTGATCGAATTCTTTTTTTTTTTTTTTTGTTAAATAATTAGTTGAGATGAAATTATAGAAATTAAAAAGAAAATTTCCGAACATGATGATCTTAGTCTAATCTTGTGGAAACTATCGTAATTATCGAGAATATTAATTCTGACTGTTTCAGAATAGTTTTAACAATATTTGTGATAATGTAAAAGTTATTCAATAGAGAATAAATCTCGAGAAAAACTAGTTAAGAATATGATACAGTAGTTGTCAAAAGTTTGGCTACTAGGTAAAATGTATCTAAAGGTGAATTCCTTTGTCTCATATATAGTCAATAAATAGAGCATGACGAACGCTGATTACAAGCAGCAATCGAGACTTGATCGACCTTTATGCAAAGGAGATCGAAGAACAACATAGATTTTTTTATTCAGACGAGCATATTTCAGCATTGACAAGAAATCTTACAGTATTTGACCCCTCATTTAAGAACTCAAGATTGTCTCTATCACTGATAAAAGTTTCATGCCAAATGATTGTAGTTTACTTGATTAATGACGTTATCTTTCAGTATTCTTAGCATGAGAGTTGATAGGTTTTGTCAAAAAGTAACATTTAATTTTAAGTATTTTCAACCATTTGTCTGAAAAATTTCTTCAATGAATTGTTTACTCTATTCAAGTACTCGCTAAAAATCTCATGATTACAGCTATTAATGGAACAGAGATCTATGCGAAGATCGTCCCGAGTATTGTATTAACGCATATTTAATATTTTCC